TTCTTCGCGTCTCGTCGTGGTATGTATTCATTTGGGCCAACGATTTGTCCGCCGCTTCTCTCCATTTCTTCTCACCGTATTCTAAGAACCTGTTATTCATTCAAAGTATAATTTATAGTAAATTACACATTATTTCAAAGTCTAACTAACCATTGGTCGCAAAGAGCGACAACACATTCGTCTCCCGATCGGGAAATGATTTGTTTTTCGGGTTCCATATAAATCACTGCTTCTTTGCGGTCAATCATTTCCTTTTGAACGTCTTTCTTGATGTCACACACTTTCTTGCCTTTATGCGGGCCAACAATCATAACCTAATCAATCAATTATAACAATATTATTGTAATCCTTATGAAACACAATTCCGTTCATTACTAACCCCTTCGTAGAAGCCTTTGAGGTATACTTTTTCCTTGGCTTCGGCCAACTTTTGTGTGTCGTTTTGGCTTTGAATCTTCAAATCATCGCAAACTTTAACCGCAGATAAATTACCAAAATCTGGAATTTCTATAATCGGGACCTTTTATGATAATAATAGACAATTAGTTGAGACAAAACATTATAGATATAGTGAATGACAGACCGGTTCGAAGGGAAGAACCATATTGTCTTTGATGCCATATTTCTCTCTGAGGGGCTGTTTGTTCTTCAGATCCCTTAAGGCGGTGAAATCGTCGGGTGCGTCGGACGGCACACTCGTCACAACACCCGTTCCCTTATCCTCTTTAATGGTAAGCATTGGCAGCGCATAAATACTCTCGTAAGATGTGAGCGGAGCCTTCAGTTTAGCACCCATTATGTCACTGCCCAAGAGGTCCAGCACTTTGTCTACAACACCGTTCTCTTTAGTAAACCCTTGAAACGAGAGGTTAAGAGCCGATCGATTGGTCGATATGTATATTTCGCCCGAATTCACTCGATATGCGATATATTTCATGTCGGGTCTCAGCCAACAGTTTGTCTGTCCGTACATTGTTTCGGGTCTAAGAGTGGCCGCAACTAAATAAATGTCAGCCTTAAGCCTGAAATTCAAAATAATTAATACCATAATTACTATTATTATATAATTGTTTAATAAATACTTTTGGAGTTTCTGGGGCTTCGGATCGAGAACTTTCATTTTGATGAGTGTGTACTCCTGAGGGCCGACGCCTTCACCACTGGCCCTGTCGTGATCCATACACGGCTGGTTGTCTTTAGCCGAGAATATGGTATATCTTTTGCCAAATTTGATTTTATTCCTCTCTTTCAGACGAATGAATTGCCATTTGATGAACGAATCGAAGTACGGATTCTTATCGGTGGTCATAAAGACTCGCCGCCAATCGGCTCTCAATCCAAACGCATTCAAGTCTTCGATCCATTTCTGCGGGAAGTAATCCAACCAATGGAGAGGTTCGGCAAACTCTGCGATCTCATCGTCGGTCATACCCAACGATTGCATTATCTGCCACTGATATTTCGCTTGAATTGTCTTCGCCTGAAGTTTACTTCGTTTACTCTTCGACTTGTCTTTGATCACCAATTCATTGGACGATGCGTTGGCCGGCGACTCGTCTGCGGTCTCTTCGGGAAACACTGGCGGAAACCCGAAGTCCTTCATTTCACGGCTCAATTTGTCCGCACAGGCCTTTATAGGCATTCCCGTGGCGTGAAAGCCAAACGGCATGAGACACTTCCGGCCTTTCAATCGCCAAAAGCCGATAATAAACTGTTTTGAAAGGTATGGCAAAAGTTTTAAAAACTGATATAAAATGAGAAAATGTGTGTCAAATGACCTCCAGTTTGGAC